TGAGAATTAAAATTTTTTCATGTAGAACGTTTAGTAGACACCTGGCAGGCAGTGTGCATTCACTAGATGAAATTATCTCATACATGTCATTTTACAACATTTTCATTTAACAATATACCTTGAACATGTTCCTGCATCAGTTGATATAGACCTACATCATGCTGTTGGGGAGAAAAAATTTTTCTCTACCTTTAAAATTCTTTTGGTTGGTCTAAGAATTATATTGACATGGGAAAGATTAATAGGAGAAAATCAAATTTAATTATATATGTTTGGAGAATCCACATAAACATGAAAGATTCCAAAGACAGTCAGGCAAAATGAGGCATATATGTCATCCTGAACTGAGGAGAAGGGGGCAGGGATCTGGGGCTTCAAAGGGGAGGAGAACTATTTATAGAAAGATGAAAAAGAGCAAATGCTTGGTAAACAAATATTTGCTGGGCCATATAGAAACAGTATGACATAGAGGGAATTTTAACAAACAGACTTTGCTAAGTTGCTTCCTTTCTACCACACATAGTTTATATTATATTGTCACTTATGGTGATAGCTCCCTTCCTTGAACAGGTCATTTATCCAAATTCTTTTAGGTAGTTGAGGGGGAAAGTCAAAGGTTCTTCCTGAGCCTTTTGTTTCTTAAATATAATCAGCCTAAAATCCACATGCCAAAGAAACCCATTTTGGAGTGGCAAATTTTTCTTCCCTACAATCACTTTTAATAGTAGTTAGGTTGTTTTTTGTTTGGTTGGTTTTGTTTTTTACCTGTTCTTTTCAAAATCAGTTTCTTAAATTAAAAAAATTTTTTTGAGATATAAGATATAAGAATAAGTTAGACTATATGAAAAGTTTTTCAAATGAAAACAGTCTCGATCTCATTTCTTCTCATCTCATCCTTTCCTACCTCAATTCCATTGTCCAGAAGCCATTCCAGCATAAAAAAAAAGAATATAACCAATACCCTAGAAGCACCCCACTATGCCACGTGCCTTCTCTTTTTCTTTCTCTTCCTTGCCCCAGAGGTATTCACTCTTCTGAATTCTGGTTATTGCTCCTTGTTTTTCAATTCTACCCTATATGCATGTGCCATAACTGACATGGTTTCATTCTGCATGTTCTTTTTGCTTTTTTAAGTAGGTTCCACACCCAGCGTGGAGCCCTGTGAAGAGCTTGAACTCACAACCCTGAGATCAAAACCTGAGCTGAGATCAAGAGTCGGACACTTAACTGACTGAGCCACCCAGACACCCCTCATTTTGCATGTTTTTTAAAGTTAATATGTGTAGTCATGCCATATGTATCATTTTGTGACTTGCTTTTATGACTCAATCTTATGTTTTTGAGATGCATTTATATTAATAGCTATAGCTATAGTTTATTAGTTTTCATTGCTGGATAGCTGGCCATTATATGAATAGATGAATACACCACAAATTATTTATTCATTGTAGTCTCAGTGTACTTTTACTATCCCCTCTTCCTTTTTTCTTTTTTCTTTTCTTTTCTTTTTTTGCCATTGAAGCTCCTTTCCTTATGAACCATTTATTCCTATACGGCTTCTTATTGTGAGGATTATAATGATTTTTTTTTTTTCACTTGGCCTCATTCTGGGTTCTACTAAATCTTTCACTCAGTCATTCAGCCTGTATTTTTCCATGGAATCTCTTTGATGAAGGCTGCTATGGACTGTCATAGAATGTTAATTTTGTAAGAAGACAGAGGTTCCTAATTTTTAAAGAAAATTTAAATATAACTAATTAAAATAATAACAAGAATGAAACCCTTCATGTGACTTTCAATATTCCTAACTCATTCTATAAAAATACCTTACTAATTTTAATTGATCATATACTAAATAGTATAAAATTATTCAAATTACAGTCCTGATGTTTATAGCAGCATTATGGACAGTAGCCAAATTATGGAAAGAGCCCAAATGTCCATCAACTGATGAATGGATAAAGAATATTATTTAGCCATCAAAAAGAATGAAAACTTGCCGTTTGCAATGACATGGATAGAGCTAGAGTGTATTATACTAAGAGAAATAGAGAAAAACAAATACCGTATGATTTCACTCATATGTGGAATTTAAGAAACAAAACAGGTGAACGTAGGAGAAAGGGAAAAGAAAAGAGAGGGAAGCAAACCACAAGAGACTCTTAACTATAGTGAACAAACTGAGGATTCACAGAGGGAGGTGGGCGGAGGATGGGCTAAATGGGTGATGGGTATTAAGGAGGGCACTTGTTGTGATGAGCACCAGGTGTTATATGTAAATGATGAATCACTTGGGGTGCCTGGGTGGCTCAGTCGGTTAAGCATCTGCCTTCGGCTCAGGTCATGATCCCAGGGTCCTGGGATCGAGCCCCACATCGGGCTCCCTGCTCAGTGGGGAGCCTGCTTCTTCCTCTCCTCCCCACTTATGCTCTCTCTCCTTATCTCTGTCTCTCTCTCTTTCAAATAAATAAATATCTTTTTTAAAAAAGTGATGAATCACTTAATTCTACTCCTGAAACCAATATCACACTATACGCTTACTAACTACCTAGAATTTAAATAAAAACTTGAAACCAATCAAAAGACAAACAAAGAAACCAAGTTACATTCCTAAAAAGTCCTAAAAGAATTTTGTATCAAGTGGGTGTATATAGTCAGTAAAGACAGGTGGTACTTAGAAGGTAGAAAACTGTTTCTTGGACCCCTGGGTAGCTCAGTCGGTTAAGTGTCTGTCTTTGGCTCAGGTCATGATCTTGGGGTCCTGGGGTTGAGTCCCGCATCTGGCTCCCTGCTCAGCCGGAAGTCTGCTTCTCTCTCTGCCCCTCCCCCACCTTTCATGCTCAAGATCTCTCTCTCTCTAAAAAAAGAAAGAAAAGAAAATTGTTTCTTATGACCGGGACCTCCAACTCTTGATCTTTAACCAATAGGATCAGTTCAAGTTAGCCCCCTTCAGGTTAATTATTGACAATTACAGTTGTAAAATGTGAAATACTGTGCCCTTTCACCTATGGTTAACAGCAGTGTGTATTCAGATGGTCACATTATGTACAAAAACACAAGGGCTTGGAGATGATCCTCCAGAATCCACAGCAGTACTACAGGACAGTAGTTTCCTGGAACAATATAGTTTCTTTTCAATTTTTTCCTTTGAGCAGTTAACCTTTACTTTATTGTCTAATTGGATCTTTTAAATTATTACAACAAAATGTTACACTAGTCAGACTAATTAGGGGACAGGCCATTACCAGTAAAAGTGTTCAAATAATGCCTCGACCTCAGATTTTTAGGTTGGCCAACCAGATTTAAATTTGCAGGGTTAATTTGCATGATATCATGAATGTGTTAAAAGGTCTTCTAAAAAGTTAGTGTTCTAAAAAAGAGTTAAGCAAGACCCATGTTTTAGCAAGAAATGGACCTTGATTTTTTTCATTTAGTATCTGTAATAATAAGCATTTCTTTAACATTTATTTTGTGCCAAGAACTGTTCTAAGTGCTTTCTATATATTGACTTATTTAATACTTCTTCAAATTCTATAAGGGAGGCAGGAAGTCTTTACCCACTGCATTTTACAGATGAGAGAACTAAAATATAAAGGGAATTTATCCACATTCACACAGTTAATAAGGGATTATTATGATTCATATGGTTTCAAAATAAACTCATATGTTGAATTATTAATTCATAAATCCATACGTTGAAACCCCAACCTCCGGTACCTCAGAATGTGAGTTTATTTGGAAATAGGTTCATTACAGCTGTAATTAGTTAAATTAAGATGAGGTCGTATTAGAGTAAGGTGGGCCCCTAATCCAACACGACTAGCGTCCTTATAAAGAGGGGGGATTTGGGCATAGACATACATACAGGGAGGATGCCATGTGAAGGTGAAGGCAGAGATGGGGTGATGCTTCTACAAGCCAAGGATGCCACAGATTACGAGTGTAACCAGCAGAAGCAAGGGGAGAGGCATGGGATAGATTCTCCCTCACAGTCTTGATCTCAGACTTCTGGCCCCCAGAACTGTGATCGTAAATTTCTGCTGTCAAAGCCATTGGGTTTGTTGTACTTTGTTAACCTAACCCTCGCAAACTGATACAGGGGTAGAGTCAGGATCAAACCCAGGCAGGAACGCTGCAAGATTGGTGCGCTTATCACCTCATTCTGTGCCTCTCCCATAACAGAACTAATCAAAATAGAACAGACACCAATGCCCTGAGCAAATAAATGGCACAAGAGTTACCGACCAGCTTTCAAATCTAGGCAGAGGAGCAAAACACTGACTACCCTTTACCTGTGTCTGTACCACGTGCCCTGGAGCCTCTTCTCTACCCCCTTAAGTTAAGGGACTGTTTCAGCCCTACCCAGACGTTTTTCATAATCTACTGTGTAAATGTACTCAGCCAGCTTGCGGGACTCTGAGCCTGTGTCCCTATTCAGCTTCAAAATCCAAACCTTTAATAGATTTTTGGAAGCGGCACCATCATTCTGTTCGTAAGAGCCACATTTATGCTGTTTCCTTTGGGTTAAAATTAAAAGGATGTGTCCTACAGGTGACAGGAGGAACAAGGGCCCTCCCAGTAGTCATATTTACTGACAAGGAAAGGAAAAACCCGTGCAGATGGCTGGGCGACTGGCACCGGGCCATGGACAGGTAGGTATCTTTGCAGAATAAGTTCTGAACTGTGAGCGAGCTCTGGGCCTGGGGTTCCAAGCCTTGAAGTAGGGGAGCTTTGGAGCAGAAGGAAAACTGCAGCCAGACCGTTGCCCCCTGAGAGCAGCTGTGTGCGGGGTGTGGGAGGTCAGGGTCAGGGTCAGGGTGAGGCTTGGACCCGCGTGCAGGCCGGACTGGAGACCACTATCCTTCTGGGAGGGGGGTGTCGAGCTTCCTCTGCGCCTCTGGGAGGTCAGGGTCAGGGTCAGGGTGAGGCTTGGACCCGCGTGCAGGCCGGACTGGAGACCACTATCCTTCTGGGAGGGGGGTGTCGAGCTTCCTCTGCGCCTCTGGACGTGGGTGCCTCTCTTGGCCAGCACAGTCCACTTTCGCACAACCACCCGCCGCAGTGTTTGATGGGTAGCCGGGCAAAACCGGGAAGGTCAGCCCGAGGTGGGCGCGTGGGCTGGGCCTCTCGGCTGCGATTTCCCTGCAGGCCCGCGGCCACAGGGGCAGCGCGTCCCTCCTTGCAGAGAGTGGGAAACGGAGCCTGGGGGCGGCGGCCAGGACCGCGCACTGGGGTCGCCGGGCACCGGTTTTAGTTAAGCACCGGGACAACGCGGGCGGGAGAACACAGCCCCCGCCGAACTGACGGCCGACCTCCGCAGGCACTTGGGAGAGGAGGAGGGAAGAAGGAAAGGACGGAGGGAGGGGCGAACCACTTCCTGAATCGCCTGCAAACCCGGGGCGCGAGCTTGGTCTGCGCTGCGCCGCGATGTCTGGAGCGTCGGCCAGGAGCCTAGCCAAGGGTGAGGCGGGCGGGCTGCGAGAGGCGGGGGGGGCTCGGCCACTCCCAGCCGCGCGTCCTGGTGTGGCTGCTCCGGAGCCACCTGGGGGGTCCCCCACTTGCGGGGATCGGGCCGGGGCCGCAGCGCGCGGGCCCTCTCCGCGGCCTGGCCCTGGGATGGCGGGAGGATGGGGGTCCCCGCCGCTCTCCGGGCGGTGACCGCCTCCGCGCCTCCCCCGCAGGAAGCGCGCCCCCAGGACCGGTCCCCGAGGGCCTGATCCGCGTCTACAGCATGAGGTTCTGCCCATTCGCCCAGAGGACGCTCTTGGTCCTGAAGGCCAAGGGAATCAGGTAAGGGCCCAGGCAGCTGCTTTGGGGGCGGCCGGGTGGGAATTTCCGATGGGGCCCCAGGGGCTTCCTTTCCTGCAAAGCAAACTATTCTCAGACTTTTGGGGGCGGGGGGGTCAAAGCAAATTATGAACCCACTTCCTGGGGTGAGGGGTGGGAGGAATGCCATAGATTACACCAGTTTAGGACACCCCATTTCAATCCACCTAACCATTTTATGGATTTGAAAAGCTGAGGCTCTCGTAAGGTTGGTGGTAAGTGGAGATCACAGGTAATGACCAGCAGCAGCTCTTTCAGCTCTGGTAGATCACTGATTCCTGGTCCACTGCCCTTTTGCTTTCACCCCACTTCTACGTTCATGTCTGTCTTCTGTGATCCTATTTGCTGTTATTCTGATTATATAGTTCCTTTCCTAATAGTTGGTAATTTACTCCAGTACAGAGTCCAGGCCTTGACCCTGAGTCAACTGTACTGTACCGTACATAATTCCTATAGGCTGGGTTGTTGAGTCAAAGTGTGTATGCCTAGAAATTCAGTCTTCTGCGAAGCCTCTTTGAAATTAAAAACCAAATGGTTTTTGACCTATTGGTTATCCATGGGGAATATGCAATAGTCACTTGGCTCCTGACACCAAATATCCATTGCCTCCCTTCCAATGATCTTTGGAAACTGTTGAGCAGACATTAGATAACCTGTGGTGCAGAAGTTTACAATATACCCCCATTCTTAAGAAATTTTCCATCCATGTGCTTAGGTTTTATAAACTAATTTTAGTCTTATAGGGGGAGAATTAAGCAGACAATAATTTTCCCTAAAAGATTTTAAGATGCATTCTAAAGAAAAAAAATATTTTCGGGTTAGCCATCACTTCACTAGGATTTGCCTCTTATTTGGATGAAATTGATTCTGAACACATAGCAAAATACTCAACATTTAGTAACATTTATCCAGAACATTATATTTTATTCAAATACTGCAGTATTTGCTGTATTAGAATTCTTTTATTGCAAGTAAGAGTAATCTTATTCAAATTGGATTGAAAAAAGATATACCTTATGCTTGTGTCACTGAAAAGTACAGGAGCAAGGCACAGCTGGATTGGGGGACGTGAAGTCCTGGTTTCTGGGCCCCTCGAAAACAACCCTACCTTATACACTGGGACTGTTTTCCAAAAGGAAATTGAACTGATTTTACCAAATAGTGTGTGTGTGGCGGTGAAGAATGGTAACAGCCACCAGATAGTGCACGCAACAGAGGTCTTCTACCTTCATGGATCAGGTTTTAGTTCGCTGCCCAGATGACTTTCATTAGAGAGGTGCTAGATTTTTGCTGCATGGTATCACCTAACAAAGCATGGTTTTCTCTAAAAAATACATCTTCCAACTTGTGGTGGCAGGTGTGTTGACTTATTGGCTCATAATGTCAGGTTACCAAATGCATCTGTGTTCTAAGAACCTTCTTTATCACAAAAGCCCAGGATCTACCTTTTGTTTTCATGGTATAAAATTTCAGAAATGTTGATAATTCCCTGGCAGGGAGCTGGCCTTGTATTTCTTTTGATGGCTGGTATCTGAGTGTCTAGTAATCTGTCAGCACATGAACCTCTTGATACAGAACTGTATTCTAGGGGCACCTGGGTGGCTCAGTCGGTTAAGCGACTGCCTTCGGCTCAGGTCATGGTCCCAGGGTCCTGGGATCGAGTCCCACGTCGGGCTCCCTGCTCTGCAGGAAGCCAGCCTGCTTCTCCTTCTCCCACTCCCCCTGCTTGTGTTCCCTCTCTCGCTGTGTGTCTCTCTCTCTCAAATAATAAATAAAATCTTTAAAAAAAAAAAAAAAAAGAACTGTATTCTAGTGTTCAATGTAGCCCTTCCTGTTTTCATCGGGGATTACATATTTAAATCCTCAAACTAGACGCTATTCTAACTACTGAGATGGATGGGGAAATAGGTGTTGGCGTATGTTATTTTTGAGTAACTAACCTGTTCTATTGAACAATGAACCAGCTTTGACAATTATATGGACCTGGCTTTAACAATTACATGAAACTTTGCTGTCTCTTATTTCTTCTACAACCTCTCAGGCAAGAAACAAGTTAGATCTAATTACAGTCTGAATATAGCTTGGACTTCATCTGTTTTCTTCCTTTTGGGTTTGCTTAGTGTGATTTACCCACGTAACATTTAAAAAAATATCAGTGCGTGGACGTTTAATCTGAAACTTTATTTTATGGGTGGATTTTTTGGATTCCTTAATATTCTTGTAAAAGTGAGGAACTTTCTTTTCAATTTAGTAAAAGGAATTGAATTTTATGTTGATTCTCATATAGTAGGTAGTGAATACAGTTCAATTAGTTACCTCAGATAATTTACAGTTAGAAAGCTCTTAGCTCAAAATGGAGTATCTTATTGACAGTCTTGAAGCAGTTCCACTTATTTATTCATTCATTCAACAAATACTTACTGAGTAACCCTGTCTGAAACCATTTTTATTGTCTTCATAGCATTTAAATCTATTTTAAAAATTTTGCTCATTTACATGTTTGTTTATTAATATGAACAAGGCACAGAATCCCTGCCTTCATGGAGCTTACACTCTAGGGAGGTGACATAATAAGGATGTAAATAAACGAGCAATGTAATTTCAGATACACATCATCAGTTCAATGAAGAAAGTAAAACAAGATGGTCATGTAGTGGAGGCTCTTAGCAGCTTCAGACCGGGTAGTCAGGGCCTCTTGGAGGATCTGGTGTTTGACCTGAAAAGACAGGCAGAAATGGCAGAGGAACAATACATGTAAATGCCCTAAGGTGAGAGCCTGTTTGGCAAACTCAAGAAATATAAAAAAGGCCAGTGTGGCCAGCTTGTAATGACCAGAGGGCAAGTCCTAGGAACAGGTGTGACAGGTAAGAAAGGGCCAGATCACATGCTACAGAGGGTTTAGGTTTTATCCTCATTGCAATGAGGAGCAATCACAGGGTTGCAAGCAGGAGGATGGCCTGATCCAATTTACTTCTGTTGTGGAAAATGAACTAGAGGGAGGGCACAGTGGAAGCTGAGAGGCCAGTGGGCGGCTACTGTAGAGGTCTAGCTGGCAGCTGATGTTTTGACAAGGAGGCAGGGATAAAGCTGAGAAGTGGCTATGATTTGGAGGTCTAGCTGACAGGTCTTGGTGATCCACTGGACTTGAGGAAGAGGGAGCAAGGGAAAAGGAATCAAGACTGAGTTGAATCCTAAATCCTAAATTTGGGGTCTGATCAAATCTGAGTGGGTGGTAGGGCCAGTGAGGATTTACTCAGAAGTACAAAAAAAAAAAAAAAAAAAAGTTCCACTCTCTTCATTGTCTTTGTCTCTTTCAGGCATGAAATCATCAACATCAACCTGAAAAATAAGCCTGAGTGGTTCTTTAAGAAGAATCCCTTTGGCCTGGTGCCAGTTCTGGAAAACAGTCAGGGTCAACTGATCTACGAATCTGCCATCACTTGTGAGTACCTGGATGAAGCATATCCAGGAAAGAAGCTGTTGCCAGACGACCCCTATGAGAAAGCTTGCCAAAAGATGGTGTTTGAGTTATTTTCTAAGGTGTGTGTATAAGAAATCTCAGCTCCTATTTGAAAAAAAAACTTTGTTTTTTAAGCTAAATCAGTGCTGTCATTTATGATTCAGTGACGTGGGAAAGGAAAATGCAACAGTGTTCTTATCTGCAAGCCCTGTCACCATCTGGTTCCTGCTTCTCCTTGCCTCTCCAAAGTCAGCCTTCTTCACTCTTCAGACACTGTGTTCCTGCCACACTGAATGTTTTGTTTTCCCACACTCACCACCTCCTTCTAAACTCTTGCTGGAAGGCTCTTCCCCCTTCTCACTTTGCCTGGTTATCTCCAAGTCCTCTTTCATGTATCTGCTCAGCTTCTGCTGCCTTCCAGAAGCTTGTCCGGGCTGGGTTCATGCCCAGCTCTGTGGTCCCACAGGTGCTAACCTCTCCCTGTCAGTGACTGCCCGCTTTCTTGCCTATGTGTTGTACCAGGACTCTGAGCTCCTTTCCGGTGAGGCTGTGTTCCCATCACTGTTGGCTCACTGCCTCGGTCCGTGACCAGCTCTGCCAGTTCCTAGTGGTGTGACTCTGAGGAAGTTACTCGTTTACCTCTGTGCCTCAGCTTATCACTTGTCAAAGGAGTATAATAATTGCTCCCTTCTTGTAGATAAAAATCAGTTTATATAAAACACCTAGAGCAGAGTCTGACATGGTAAATGCTGTGTTGGCCCTTGTGGTTCTGGCCAGTGTCTAGCAGCAGGTACCTACTCTGTGTTGGCGATAGCTGTCAGCTGACTGAGTAAACGGCATTCCTGTAGAAGACCTGTTCGTATCTTAATCAGCGTCAAGGTTGTAGATAGTTCAAACAATTGATATTCACAAAGAACTGCCCAACAGTGGACAACAAGAATAGCGGTGTCAGGTTATCTCTATAGACCTGTTATTTGTCAGGATATGTGTCAGCATATCTTGTCTTCTTTAAATGGTTAAAGAAATACCTAGAAGGTGAAATTTCTAGAGAGAACATATTGTGTAAGGAGACATTGCAAAGGGAAACCAATGGGGAAGAGAGAGGGAGTTAGCTAGCTTGGCAGAACGAGAGGGAAAGAATAGCACAGATGCCACGGTCGAAGGTGATGGATAGGGAATATGACAATTACAAGAAAGATGTTGGAGGACTAAAAAAATAGTAACAAGAAATTCATTATAGGGACATCTGGCTGGCTCAGTCAGTAGAGCATGTGACTCTGGACCTTGGGGTTGTGAGTTCAAGCCCCACATTGGGTGTAGAGGTTACTTTCAAAAAAAGAGAGAGAGAGAGATTCATTGTATTGTTTCAAAAGAAAATAAGCTAAAAACTGGAGATGCCCACCATTACTTCCCAGCTCACATTCAGGGAAGAGGGGGTTTTAGGTACCATATGACCCCACCCTCCTGGCCATAGCTCAGCAAACCAGAAATGCCCCCACCTCCATCCCCAGCCCAGTCATCTTCTCTCCTGAGAACTTGAAACTGAGACACGGAGACTAACAGTAAAGGTGTTGAAGCTTTGGAGGAGTGTGTATGTGTGTTTGTGTGTGTGTGTAAATATATATGTGTGTGTATGTATATATAAAATTGGAGACTTAACAAACCAAAGCCATACAAAAAATAAATTTATTTATTTATTTATTTGAGACAGAGAGAGCATGCACAAGCAGGGGGGAGGGGCGGGGGGAGAGGGAGATGCACGGCGTGGGGCTCGATCCCAGGACTCTGAGATCATGACCTGAGCCGAAGGCAGATGCTTAACCATCTGAGCCACCCAGGCGCCCCCCAAAAATTAACTTACGGAAGCAGAAATTAAGACCATTGCCAAGGGACATGATATATAGGAACAATATGAGGCAGACATTTAAGGAAAAGCAGGGATAAAAAACCAGGCAGGCCCAGATGGAGCCGTGGACAGAAGTACTGCCTGCAAACCTTCACTTCCAATGAGGGCAAGCTGTGTGGACATGGATGGCATTTCAGGACACTCTCTTTTATTTTTACAAGCACCCGTTGACTTAAACCGGGATGAGTGGACTTCTGTCTCTTGCAATGAGACCATACCAAAAACTGAAGTATTAAAACACACAAACCCCTCCAGCATGACCCCCGAAGCATCTGACACTACATCTTTTGAACAGCCTTCTCAGGTCCTCCCCAAGGGAGAAAGCCGAAAGATGCTCTTCCCCAGCTCCCTTTGCGGCTGGGGCAGAAGTGTGGGACCCTGGCTCTTCCTGTCAGAAGCGCCCACCATAGAGCTGGATTCAGAAATGAGCAGTGTGGGGAGACAGGCTTGGTGTGTGGGGCACGGGGCCTGCTGGTGAGAGTGGCCAGTTTCAGAGCTCCAGGCTTTGGGGAGCAGTGGCGGTTGCAGGATCAAATTCCAGACCCAGGAGGGCTTCAGGGCTCAAGGCGTTAGTCACCTCGGGGTCTAACTTCTGGCAGGAGCGCAAACGGCAGCACCCATCATGCCGGTTCTGAGCATGATTTCCGAACGTTCCAGCCTAGTCCCCAGCCTATTTTGTCAGCCTCTCAATAATTCTATGAGTCACTCAGTGTCTTTTTAAGACATATTTGGCTCAAACTCACCAAAGTGGGTTCTATTATTTGCAGCTTATAAAATCCTGACCAAATATCTCTTTACGCCCCAAAACTGTTTCTAAGATCAGTACCCGACCTCTGTGAATACAGGAATTGGTGCACTTTCAGGTTTCTCGAACACCCTGATCTGGGACTCTGAGCGTTCTGTCATGCTTTTCTGTGAGGGGGCTGGTACAGTTTGCCTCACACTGGTAACTGAGAAATTATTCTCTGTCTAGGTTCCATCTTTGGTAACAAGCTTTCTGAGAAGACAGAATGAGGAAGACTGCTCTGGCCTAAAAGAGGAATTGCGGAAAGAACTCAGCAAGCTAGAGGAGGTAATCTCTTCTCCAAGCTTTTGTCAGAATGAATGATACACTGTATCCACCCCCTTCTTCCTTCCACTATTCTTCATACTCCCCTTTCCCAAATCACTTTGTGGCAATTAGTAATAACACCAAATAAGGAATTTTAGGTTATGACAGATTGCTGTAAGATGTTGTGTTTAAGATACAAACTGAAACACCTAAAAATATTTTGTCATGGCTTGCTTTTAAAACATTGTCACACTGACAATAAAATAACAAGGAAAAAAAATGCACTAACATTTCCACAATTTGTCACCTGTTTTCATTTTTTCATGCCTGTGTCTAGTCCTTGTCCATGTATCAAAACAAAACAAAAAGAAAGAAGGAAGGAAGGAAGGAAGGAAGGAAGGAAAAAGTTAACATAACTGTAATCAGGGCATAGATACCATACTGTGTTCTTTTTTTTTTTTTTTTTAAATAGTATATTATAAACATTTCCCACCAGAGTTTGTCATGAATCATAGACACTTAGAGAAGCCTGGATGAGTTTTTACCTCCTTTGGGGCACAGCTGTCATTTGGGCCTTTAGATCAAGTCTTTCTCTTGGTCTTGAGACATTCCATTCACTCTCAGCCTTGGGTTTTTACTGAGGGAAGACATAGTTCCTCCCTTGTATGGGAATGCATCCTAATATTTTATCAGTATTAAGTTTGTTGTAGATTTTTTTGGAACTTATTTTCATTAAGAAAATTGTTACTAGTTTGCTAATTTTAACAAAAATCATGAATGTGTTTAATTTTGTTGAATGTTTTGTCTGTATCTATTACATCTATTGAGATGTTCATGGAATTTTTTCCCTTTAATCTGATGAATATGGTGTTATTGACAAATTTTCTGGTGTTGAACCATCCTAGCGTTACTGAGATAAAACCTACTTGTTTCCAATGGATTTTCATATATACTCTAGAACTAGTTAATATTTAAAGAATTTGCATACTATTCATGAGGTTGGATTATTATTTTGTTTTCATAGTGTCTTTGTTTTTTACATTAAGGATATTCTAACCTGATAAAATGTGTTGGGTTACTTTGCCTGTGTTTCTAATCTCTGAAATCATTTGATAGGGTTTGGCTGTTTCTGCTCTTTTACTAACTAGCTCAGGAGTTCAGTAGCTAATGCACATACCTTCAGTCTTTCTTGATTGTATAATGCATTAATGACCAATACATTACTTCTAAATAACATCTTAGTTGCATCCAATTAAGTTTTAATAGGCAGGACTTTCATTGTTCTGTTCTACATTGGCTTTTTTTCCTGTTTCCATTTGATTTTCTCATTGCCTAGCTATTATTTATCAGTGTACTTGTAAGTTTCCTAAACTTTTTGCTATTTTCTAATTTAATTACATTATGGTCAGAGAATACATATGGGATATTGTTTCTTTGAAGATTAAGACTTCTTTTGTGTTTGGCAACCTAGTAGAGCCTACGAACCCCTTCTCAGCATTTTTAAATGCTTAAATTAAAATATGTAAGATTAACTCTACTGTGGTTCATTTCATAATGGGAATACCTGCTAAATTGGGGGTTACTGGGGGGAGAGGGGCAGTATGTACTTTTTCCCCATCTACCTTCATAGACTCCAGATTTAGAACTCATGCCTTAAAGTGAGTAGTGCCATTTCCATGTTTTAGGCTGCTGAGTGGGTTATTTTCTTCTGACTGAAACTGCTATACTTAATTTATACACAATATAATAACCAGACACTACAGTTGAAGGGCAGGCCCAGTTAACATTGATTTGTTGTACAGTTCTGAGTGCCTAATAATTGCAAGGCACTCTACTGGGTAGTGTGGAAGGTAGAAAGTAAGATATGGTCTATACTCTTCAGATGATTAGCTTGGTGGTAGACAAAAGACAGATACTCCAGTAGATATAAGCCATCAATCCACAATGCAGAATGTTATATGGGCCCTGAGGAAAACTATGGAAGTTTTATAAAACGTAAGTTGGTTTGGTGTTAATTAGGTCCTCTACTTTGTCAGAACCATTAACACCAATGCACATTCTTGAATTATAGAAACATACTATTTGTGTTTGGTTTTCAGATAATTTTATTTGACATCTGTTTAACAGTTAACCCAGTTATTTCCAGTGTATTTTGAGTCATTTTTTTATTGAAGTGTTACATACAGAGAAGTATCCAAAGCATGAGTACAGCTTGATGAATTTTTACCAAGTGAACATAGTCATGGAACCAGCACCCATATCAAGAGACATTAGTTTGGGCTGTTTTTATACTTTATGCATATGGAATTATATAATATGCACTTTTGGGTCTGGCTTCTTTCATACAATAGTAGCTTTGTGAGATTCATCTATATTGTATGTAGTTCATTCCTATCCTTTGTGTTCCAACATATGACTATAGCACAGTTTATCTATTTTACTCCTGTTGGACAGTAAACATTTCCACTTTGGGGCTCTTACAATAAACGTTCTTCCACCTATCTTTTGGTGAACATATGTTCACATTTCCAAAGAGTAGAATTACTGGGTTAGAGAATGCATGCACTCAGCTTCAGTACATACAGTTAAAACATGGTTGCTCCAGCTTATAGTCCTGCCAGCAGTGGTTCCACACCCTTGTTAATTTTGTCTTGCTCATTTTAACTATTATGAAGGATGTGTAGTGGTATTACATTTTGGCTCTAATTTGCATTTCCCTGATGACCAGTGAGGTTGAATACCTTTTCACATGGTTTTTGGCCATTAGAATATCCTTTTTCGTGAAGGTCAAGTCTGGCCCCATTTTCTATTGAGTTATTTGCCTTTTTTCTTATTGATTCCTGGGAGTTCTCTCTCTAGTCTGAATACCAATCCTTTGCTGGGTATATATATTACAAAGATCTTGTATTCTGTTGCTTGCTTTATTTTTCTCTACTTTCCAGTTTATTTTGTTGGTTGTTGGCTTCATCCCAAACCAGGAGATTCTAAAGTTCAAACAAAAAGCCAGCTTGAATATGTCAGGGTAAAAGCTGCTGCTCTCACTTGCTCTACTTAACTTGCCTTCATCATTTCTGATGATGAGTCTTACTAAATGCACAAATAACAAGTACTCTTATGCTGTTTAATGTCCAGGTTCTTACCAATAAGAAGACAACCTTCTTTGGTGGCAATTCTCTTTCTATGATTGATTACCTCATCTGGCCCTGGTTTGAACGGCTGGAAATTCTGGAGTTAAATGAGTAAGACATTTGAATATTCTGTGCATAATTTAGGATAATGATAATTGGAAGAGTATATATTGACCTTTTTCTGAACAAAAATTAGAATATTTTATATAACTGGTATGAATGGGAACAGGCAGACAGGAGGAGAATCTTGGACTATCCAGGGCATATACTCACCACCCTTCTCCATTCCTGGAGTGTGTGGGGGAGGGGTGGACAGAGAATTCTATGACATGTAGTAAAATGTTTAAAAGTAACTTACTCCTACATGTATCATATGATCTCACTGATATGAGGAATTCTTAAATGCAGGAAACAAACAGGGTTGCTGGAGTGGGGAGTGGGGTGGGAGGGATGGGGTGACTGGGTGATAGACACTGGGGAGGGTATGTGCTCTGGTAAGCGCTGTGAATTGTGCAAGACTGTTGAATCTCAGATCTGTACCTCTGAAACAAATAATGCAATATATGTTAAGAAAAAAAAAAAGAAGAAGAAGAAGGTAGCGGGAGGGGAAGAATGAAGCAGGGGAAATCGGAGGGGTAGACGAACCATGAGAGACGATGGACTCTGAAAAACAAACAGGGTTCTGGAGGGGAGGGGTGTGGGAGGATGGGTTAGCCTGGTGGTGGGTATTGAGGAGGGCACAATGGAGCACTGGGTGTTATGCACAAACAATGAATCATGGAACACTTCATCTAAAACTAATGATGTAATGTATGGGGATTAACATAAGAATAAAAAAAATAAAAATAAATAAATAAATAAATAAATAAATAAATAAAAGTAACTTACTCCTTCCCTTCTGGCTAAAAATCCATAAGGATGTACATTTTTATAAGTATGTCATGCAGGATTGTTATGATCAATGCCACCTCTCATTTACCAGCAGAATTCCCACACTATTTTCCAAACTCCATGTTTGAAGTTTGGCAGCCACCTCGGCTTACTCTCAATTCTTAGAGCTTAAAAGTATTCAGTCCGGCTGTAGAATAAATATATAACATTCATGGTTGTCTTTCATGTTCTCCTTTTAAAAAGTTACTAGTTTGCCTGGACAAATAATTCTCATGCTAACTGAGCAAGTCACTTCACTCTAAGATTCCTTTTCCATAAAACAAAGACCTCTACAGTATCTTCCAAATCAAATATTCTGATTTTGTGCATTTTAAATAAATTATTTTAAAAGATTCGAGGAAAACAAAAGGAAACTGCAGAGTGATGATATAGGAGCCTTTGTAATGCCTTCCTAGTTAACCTAGCTCATGTCTTCATCCTTTTCCCTTCCCACAGTTGTGTAGACCACACTCCAAAACTTAAGCTCTGGATGGCAGCCATGAGGCAAGATCCTGCAGTATCAGCCCTCCTCACTGATCCCAAGGCCCTTCGAGGTTTCTTCAATCTCTACTTGCAGAACAGCCCTGAGGCCTGTGACTGTGGGCTCTGATAGGGGCAGGAGTCAGCAATGAAGAAATGGCTGATATTTTCCTTCACTAATATGAGTAAAAATAAACTTTAATTTTACCAAGTGCTCTCACATTTCACTGGATCACCTTCTCTGATTTGACATCATGGCTTAACTGTGGGGTTTCCTGGGCGCCTGGGTGGCTCAGATGGTTAAGCGTCTGCCTTCGGCTCAGGTCATGATCCCAGAGTCCTGGGATCGAGTCCCGCATTGGGCTCTCTGCTCCTTGGGAGCCTGCTTCTCCCTCTGCCTCTCTCTCTCTGTGTCTCTCATGAATAAATAAATAAAAATCTTTAAAAAACAAAACAAAACAAAAAAAAAACTGTGGGGTTTCCTTAAGGCCCTCCTGCAGAAATGTAAGCACATTTCCTGTCTCAGTATGCTCACGTTGATTCTAAGGGTTTTATCACAGTCTATGCTGAAAACCTCTAAGTCATCATCTCTGGTGAGAACTTAACTTCAACCTAGATTTCTTACTGCCCATAGGACATTTCCACATGGATACCCTGTTGTTTCAAGAGCTGCCCTCTCAAGTTTTCAATTCCTCATTCTTTCCTTTCCATCAACTTCACTACCTTTCTTATTCCCCTTGTCACCACTGAAGACCAGACTCACATCGCTTCAAAGTCAGGTGACTAGGTGTCCTTCTATTTGGTCTCCCAGTCTCCAATCTCAATCCCCTTCAAAATTTTCCAACCAATTCCTCCAACTCCTACCTACTCTTTGGGTACCCATCAGGCGTCCCATAGATGTAATTAAATACTGTGGAGACCACATCCATCAATTCAGTGTACGTCTGGATGAGTAATTCAGAAATACTCATGCCATCTTCCCTAGGCTTCCAAAGCCCACTGGGCTTCTAATTTTTATCATCACCTCACCTCCACGAGAAGAAGGTAGGTCGGAGAACATCATTTCATTCTACAGATGATTTCACCAAGATCCTGAGGTTGTGAGTCCTTAAGATGATGGCAGAAAGATCTGGAGAACACAGCCAGCACACTGCTCTTAGTGTCAAAATCAGGGAGCTGTCGACCGGCCCCATTACACTTTCCTGTACTTAAACGTAAGAGCGCATAACAATCACCTAAAGCTCACCGCTGGATTTCCGATATAGTGGGTCTGGGGTGAGCTGCGAAGTCCATATTTGAAACGAGCCCCCCCCCCCCCCGCCCCGGCCCGCCCCGGCCCGCCCCGGCCCGCCCCATGGTGATGCAGGCGATCTGGGGACCGCACCCTGAGAAGCAGTGAGAACCGGTTGACTTCACAAAAGGCTTCTGGCACGCTACCCTCGGCCGCCACCAACGCCCAGGCTCCGGGCGGACCCATCTCTGCCGCCGTCCGCCTGCCCCACCCTCCAGGCCCGGCTCGGCTGCGGGCGGATTTCAGTCGGATGTAGACCCGGGCGCAGAGGTACCACGGCCAGCCACTACCTGGCTTCCACTTTTGCCAGCCACAGACACTGGGAAGACTTGCGACTTCGGTGTCCAGCAGCCTGTAACGCGACCGCCCATTGGCTCAGCTTAGTACGGCTTGGCCGTGGAGCTTCCAAAGGCCTTAAGGATTGGCTGGAGCTCCAAGAGCCGTGGCCAGTTGGCGGGTAGGATCGCGTTCTAAGGGGCGGGTTCCGCCTGGGCCCCGCCTCCCTCTGCTGCCCTCGTCCTCTGCTGCCGCCTCCGCTCCGCATCCGGTTCGGTCAGCTGGGCGCGCGGAGGTCCCTCGGGGCGTCTGTCTTTATCACCTCCACCGGGTGGGTCTGTCCGGTCTGCGAGGCATCGAAAGGGAGAAGGGGTTTGAGGTCAATTCTGGATTTGGGGATTTTTCAGGAATTTCGGGTTTGCCTAACATTTTTAGAAGAAAAATCCAACGACTTATCTTCATCAGAGTTTCATGAAAGAGTTTAACATCAAGAAAAGCGCAAGGTCTATAATTTTAAAGACCAGGTCTTTAAAGCGAATCCCTTTAGCCTAAAGAAAAACAAAAACAAAAACAAACAAAAAAGAACCTCTAAATTGTTCTTATTTTTCTGATTTGGCTGGAGACAGGTAAAGACCTCGGATCAGGAATTCTCAGCCCTGCATTGGGCGCCACTAGGTTAGCTACATTATAGGGTCCTGGCAGGCAGAGGAATTTGGTCCACGGGAAAGTCCTCACTTTGTGAGTACTTATGGGACTTTCCTGCTACATTCAAATACTAATAAAAATAATGGCTAATGTTACATGCTTGCTAGATAGGGAATGCCTCTCAATCAGTATCTGAAGTAATCCTCCCCAAACCACAGGATGTATTGGTACTATTAGCTCTAAATTATGGATGGGAACACCAGGGCATAGAAAATGCCAAGGTCACCAAGCTAGCCTAAACTCTTACAGTCATTCAGAGATAGGAGTTTACATATGCTTCCTCCAGGGTCTGTCTTTATTCACTAGATTTTAGAGGTTGAGCCAGGAGAGGATAGTATCCACCTTTATGACACACCACTATTATGTCTGGGATTTAACAGGAAGTGTTGATGTTCCTTTTCCAAACTTAGTGTGTTTTATTTGATTTTACAAACGTTTGACTTTGGCTGATTTCAGGATCTTGAAAATCCGCCTTTACTCATTCAAATGTTATCATATTAAAATGTTGTAAATTTTTTTCTTTGATCCCCCAAGCTGTAAAGAGAAATAGGAATAGGAAAGCAGAATCCAGTACTTAAAAACAAAGTCTCCTTTGACTCAGTTTTCCCTAATGGTAAGATGAAGTCTCACTTCTGATAACTTTAGTAATCTTATTTGATATATTGCAGATGGGGGGGGCAGAGGGGAATTGGATAAAGGTGGTCAAAGGTACACACTTTGAGTTATAAGATAAGTAAGTCCTGGGGATGTAATGTACAATGAGATGACTATATTTAACACTGCTGTATGGTATATTTGAAAGTTGCTAAGTAAGAAAGTAGAACTTAAAAGATCTCATGGGGAGAATTTTTTTAATACCTGTATGAGGAGATGGATGTTAACTAAACTTATTGTGGTGATCATTATACAATTTAGGTAAATCAAGTCATTATGCTGTGTATCTTAAACTCATACAGAGCTGTGTGTCAATTATATCTCAATAAAAATGAAATAAAAAAGTCCCAAAGGCATTAGAACACAAGATTCCCTATGATCCTAACTTCCTGGAAACAGTCCTGAGTTTGGGCCTATGTGAAAATAGAGCCTTTTCCCTTACTTATCTCACTCTTTGAACTTGGTGAACAATTTTTGAACACCCAGTAACATAATTTTTCATGTAAATTAGGCTTTTAAAATATTAAGAGGAATGTCCTCTGGTTTCAGTTACTGCCAGAGATTGGTGTGGCAAAAAAAAAAAAAAAAAAAATTGAAAACTGCAAAATGCAAACTCCACTTTCTCTCCTTTTCTCAAAGCGGAGACTTGTGTAATTAGAGTAAAGAAATTATTTCTGCAGTGGCATTCTTTTCCTAGAAAGCTTGAGTCATTATCACCCATGACTGAAGTTTCCCACATTTTCAAAACAGATCTGATTATATTTCAGGTAGCTAGAAATGATTTAGAGCAGGTTTTATATGGTGCTATTACTATTTGTTGTGTTTTTTTTTTTTCTTTTTGCTTGAGTGAAGCAGTATAATAGAGATATAAACATGATATAATAACATAAGAAAGAGTTTGCTTATAGGATTTCAAAAAGGTACACATTGGTTCTTAAAAAGGAAGTAGGGATAAGTTTAAAGGTTGTAATTAAAATCTTTCCAGGGAAACCATAGCATTCAGTGGTAAGATTAAAAACCACATTACTGAAATGTAGCCTGCAGCATTCAACCCATTCAACTGAGTTGAATTTCAATTCTAATGTGCTTGGCAAAGCAGAATTGCAGTGCATTTCATCTTTATAGATACAAAATTGGGGTGCACTATGCTATTAAATGTGTTCTTATTCACTAATATTAGTCATTAATTTTCCAAGTACACTGAGCTCTTGCTGTACTGCTGATGTGCACGGTTTCATTCAATATTCAAAACCTATCAAGTAGGTACTATTCGTGTTCTCTTTTTAGAGATGAGGAAGATGAAGGTCCAAGGGGTTAGAGAGCTTGCCTAAGTGCCAAAGCCAGGGTTTAAATATAGTGCCAAGCGAGAATCTTGGCACTATATTGCTTTCTTTCAGAGGAAGAAATGTTTCCATTGTTCTGTCTATTCTTTTGTAACTACACCAAATACACTCCCGTTTTAGAACGTGACTTCCCCTACACAGATATACTTTTAATAAATAGTATCTTCCAAATCTTAGAGTTGGTTTCCCTTAAAAGGTGGCAGTGAGGAGAAGAAAGTTGGAAATTCTTTTCTGGCATAGTAAAAAGGTGATCCAGTAACCTTCCACTTTACAGGTGGAATTCCCAGTTGGTCCATTGCTAATTCTATCATCGTCAATATAGAGCAGGGATGGGCAAACTAAGGCTAGCAGGCCAAATCCGGTCCACTGCTGGGTTTTGTACAGCCCAAGAGCGAAGAATGGTTTTTACATTTTTAAATGGTTTTTTAAAATCAAGAGAAGAACCATAATTTGTGCCACAGGAAAATTATATGAAATTCACCAAGAGTGAGCCCTCATGAAAATTGTGGACTTTGAGCAATAATGTATCAGTGCAGGCTTGTTGATTGTAAAAATGTATCTCTCTGATGGGGGATGTTGATGGTGGAGGAAGCTGTGTTTGTGTAGGGGTAGTGAGTATATGGGAAATCTCCATATATTCTCAGTTTTGTGGTGAACCTAAAACTACTCTAAAAAAAAGTCTTTTAAAAATATAAAATTGAAATTCAGCATCCATAAATAATGTTTTATTGGAACACAGCTACTCCCGTTCATTTATATATTATCTATGGCTGTTTTCACTCTAAAATGTAGAGGTGAGTCGTTGAGACGAGATGGCTGGAAGCCTCAAGTATTTACTATCTCAACTTTTACAGAAAAGTTTGCCCATCTCTGGTATAGATAAGATTCTGGTTGGAGTCCTGCCCCAGGGGTTGAACTTCCAGGCTTCATAATCCTCCCTCTATCTCTTGTTAGTTGTGAGGTTTTTGATGGGTGACTTGACCTTGCCAACGTCAGCTTAGTCATCTTTTAAAATGAAATTATAGAATTCTAATAGGACTATTTTAAGGATTAAATGAGTGAATATACATAAAGCACCAAATACGTGTAAATAATCATTTATTTTGATTTTAACAATTTCACATTCCTCTTATGGCCCTCCCCTTTAGAATCTGGATATATTTTCTCTCAGCTCTTTGAAATCTGCTTTCTTTATGTGGGGATACATTTGTCTGCCTGGGAGTCATCTGCTTGTCTACCAGAAAATCCCCCATGACATGGTTATGTTTGTTGCTTTCATTTTACCACCCAATTTGTTCTTCTTGATCAAATTAGCTCCAGAACAGTAGTCATCCTATTACTTCATCTGTCTCCCAAAGCACAAAATTGTTAGCTAGCACGTCAATTTATCTTTTCCAACACCAGATGTCTTGCTGACATATATGCATTTTATTTTCAGAGAACATTTATGCAAACATTTTTGCCATTCTCCAATTCTCATAAAGTGACAACTACTCAAAATCACACAAAGTCACTCTGACTTTGCAAAAAATGTAACTGAGTCACTATTCTGAAGATTTTAAAAGATTCTTATTCAGTAGAAAAAAATGTTAACCTATTAACCAAGAATTTCTGAATAGATTGGAATTCCAAAGGCCAGCAGTTACCCATTCATAAGTTACATAATTAGGTTCTGTCATTTTAACAAAGCTATTTAGATTCAGCTAACGTATGAGCAGCTATTATGTGCTATATCTTTTCCAGGACTTATATTCTTTCCTCTTCATACTGTTAACTGCCTTTAGAGGTCAAGACAATAAGTCAGGCTTTAGACTCTTAAAGTTCTTTGACCCCATTAGCTGGTCACTTTGGGCAAATAATTTCATTTTTCTGAGGCTGTTTTCTGTTGTGTAAATTAGGAATAATACTAGCTGCCTGACTGAGTAGTCATGGGAATCAAATAAGGTAGTCGATGGAAATCCTTTACTGTAAGTGGGACATATCATAATTTTCTTTCCTTCTTTACCTGTCAGTCTTATACAATCCATCGACAAACAATTCCCATTTCAACTAAGTTGTGTAAAATTAAAGGAGTTATTTTACCACCTGCTGAATTTCAGGATCTCAGCCTATGAGGGTCTGAGCAAAGGCCAGCTACCTCTTTTATCTAAGATAGATGGAAGAGCCATCCCAGTGGCCCCACATTGCTGGGCTGTTGGCCATGTTTTCCATAGCAATCAGAAAGAGTTTTCTCTGAAATGTATGCTGGGGCTGAATTTGTTTCTGCCTCTAGGTAAATAATGTTTCTATTAATCACCTGTTTTCCGTAGCTGGGGCAAAATCTCACAAATAGGGCCAGAACTAAGGTGAAGCAAGTGTGGGGTCTAGGGCACAAAGTTTAAGGAGGTACTCACTCTCAGGGTTATGCAAGATCTCAACACTAACAAATTTTTCTTCCTTATCTGCTATATGCTGAGGAAATTTGGCTTTACATAAAACAAATCTTACTCATTATAGGGAGGTTGTGTCCCTATAGGGAGATGCAGGAAGAAGGGCTTAGGGCGCGAAAGAAAACATATCATTACCCTGATCAGGTTTTATTAAACGCCTTTGAAGGACATGCTGGAGTTCAAATGCCCATTCTTCAGGGATTTTTTGATGTGGAGGAGAGACCCCACTGAATGCGCTACCCACGTGTTCAAGGCAAGGGGTTACTTTTCAGGGGCTTCTTGCCCACTCCCAACTCTTAGGCTTCCAAGTCGAGGGATGTGCTCTCTTGCTTAAGGTATCCTGGCTCCCGTCCCAAATCACTTCCTCTCTGCCTCCTTCGCCACCCTACAGGCCCCCGCCCCCACCCCTACCCCTGAGCTCAGTCGCTCAAAAATTGAATTTGGGGCAGGAGGGGCGCGCTGGAGCGCGGCTGTCCTCGGAGCCTGCGGCCGCGGCGAGCGTTCCAAGCTTCGCAGACGCTCGGAGATCATGGAGGATGCGACTAGGGCCTTGGGGAAAGGTGAGCCCCCTCGACAGCGGTCCCCGGACTGGGGGCGCCGCGTGGCTGGGAAAGTTGGCTCTGGAGAGGGGGCTGCTCGGCCTTGGCCCCCAGGCCAGCGCGGCGGGGAGGGATTTGAAGGGAGCCTCTGCACAAAAGCCACATACAAATGGGTCTTCTCGGACGGGGAGGTGGTGCGCGCGCAGTTCTCCTGGGGTCCCGGGGAGGCGAGTGAGCCCCTCTCCCGGTGGGCTTACAGGCCCCTGCCTCCTTCTGTCCCCGCACAGGAAGCCTGCCCCCGGGGCCGGTCCCAGAGGGCCTGATCCGCGTCTACAGCATGAGGTTCTGCCCCTACGCGCACAGGACGCGCCTTGTCCTCCGGGCCAAAGGCATCAGGTGAGAAGCCGGAGGCCAGAGCCGCACAGGCGCGCGGGGTGTGCAAAATCCGGGGCGCCCTGCTCAGACTTCAGAGGGGCTCCTTGTGTCCCTTGCTTCTGAGGCAAAGTCAGTAAAGGGTTAGCCAAGGGCGGGCTCTGTAGCGGGCGGTCCTGAACTGCCGAGCTTTCTTCGGAGCCGTGTCTGGGCGTGAAACTTTGAGGACAACTCAGTGCAAGAGCGAGAAGGCTGCGTGCCACCTCGCTGCCGAAGGCCGGGCACGGCGGAGGCTCCCCAGGCCTTCTCGGACTGCTGCAGCCTGCGGGCCCCCGCCCCTTCAGTGCACTTGCACTCACTTTCTTCACGGCGCTTCCCGCCTCCCACATTTTTGTTTCTCCCTCTTTCCTCCACGCTACCCAGCCCCACTTCCACCGCGCCCCCGCCCCCAAGGCTAAATGTAAGTTCTTGAGGGTAGGGCTTTTGTCTCTTTTATTCATGAGCTAGAAGAGAGCCTGGTGCAAGGTAGGTGTTTAAACATATTTTTTGAATGAATGAATGAACAGATAGTTCCAAACAATGACATAGAAAAGAACTTCCGTCAAGAGGCGTCTTGAAGGTTCTGACATCCTTGAGAAATAGGTACATTTTCTTCCAGAAGGAATTTTGTGAAACCAGCACCTGCAGAGGAGGTCTGGATATGGGAGGCAGAGCCACTTTGCTGGAATAGGGACTGGTTGGGGGGGGGGAGGGGGGTGCAGCTAGCCTCAAAGCCAAAGTGAGGCTTTTGACTCTTGGAGAGTCCATCCTTTAAGGGATGACTTCAGAGTGTCAGATTCATGTCAGAGAAATACTAATATAGAGACATTTTAAACAAAACTATGTAATTCTGCTTTGTTGAGTGTATATGGAATGTATTTCCAGATTCTTCCTTATTGCTCAAATCTCCTTGGCCCTAAGGTTACCTATTTTAAAATAACAGTAGCTTGATGTTTTACCCTTCATGACAAACTGGTAGCTTAGGAACCAATGTAAATATTTCTTTAGGGCAGGGTTTCTCAGCGTTGGCACTGTTGACATTTTGGGCCAGGTAGTTCTTGGTTGTGTGTATATGTGTGTTTGGGTTGGGGTGGGGTGCTGCCCTGTGCATTGTTGGACATTTAGCAGCATCCCTGCCCTCTATCCATTAGCTATGACGACCAAAAAATGTCTCCAGACATTGACTTGTGTCCCTGCAGATGGGGCCAGATCACACCCTGTTGAAAACCACTGCTTTAGGATTTAAGACCATCTCCTCGACTGAGCAAAGAACATACTCATTTGTTTCCTTTAATCTTTTAAACATAGGTGAGCACTTCTGGTAACTTTATAGGCTTGAGCCTCTAATAATAATTAATAATGAGAAGAATAAGAGGTTATTGATGCTTATGTACCTAGCACTGTCCTAAGCACTTTAGACATACTCACTTATTCAATCCTCACAACAATGCCAAGAGATGGGTACAATTATTATCCCATTTTACAATTAAGGACACTGAGCACAGAGAAGTTAAGGAATTTGGCCAACATCACAAGCTAGACTGTCCAGACCCCAGGCACTCTGATGCCAGAATTCGAGCTCATAACTGCTGACATTTGCCATATTCTGTTGTGACCTGTTAATGTCAGATGTGTATTTGCAAGCTCTAAAATGCAGGAGACCCTGTAATGCTGTGGTTGAGTGTGTGCGCTCTGAGTCAGACTGCCTGGCTCTCAGCGTGGCTCTGCTGTCTCCTCGAAGTGATAATGGGCAGGAAGTTCAAACTCCTGGAGCCAGGAGTCACAAGGAGCATGTGAGACAAGGCAGAGAAAACATTTAGCACATCTTAACTATGTGAATGAGACAAAGATGTTGCTATGTATTTTTCTCTGGAGAAACTTAAACTTCGGAAAACTTATTGCAAACTTAAATTTTATAAATTGATTGCTTCTGCTTTCGGGGTGAGTGTCTGCCTGCAAAAGCCTCTCATTCTTGTTCTGTCTTGTTTTTCCCTTTGCTTTTTAAGGCATGAAGTTATCAACATTAACCTGAGAAACAAGCCTGAGTGGTACTATACAAAACACCCTTTTGGCCAAATTCCTGTCCTGGAGAACAGTAAATGTCAGTTGATCTACGAATCTGTCATCGCTTGTGAATACCTGGATGATGCTTATCCTGGGAGAAAGCTGTATCCATATGACCCTTATGAGCGGGCTCGCCAAAAGATGTTATTGGAGTTATTCTATAAGGTATATCCAGTTTTTTAAAAAAGTCACATACATACAGTCCATTTTATTTACTATGGGTTTCCCAAATATCAGTTCATTTTTAAAGCTAAATCACTGATCTAATTGTTTTGTTTTAATACTACCTGCATCTTAGGAGGGTAACTAGTATGGAATAATAGTAGGGCTATCACCTCTAATATTAAAGATTAAAGGCTTGACTGATAGGCTTTTTTCTATTTCAACTAGCAGTCTCAAGAGGTATGGATATGGCATGGTTATGATGGTGTGACAGGTAGTAGGAACGTTGAAAGAGCTGAAAACTGGTAGTGTGTTAAAGGGAATATTTCTAAAGTTTCAGGTAAAAAAATGTTGGGGTGTGAAAAAGGTAATGCATGAAAGGGGACTGCCCTTTATGCGGAGCAACAGTGCCAGGAAATGTGAGGAAGAGAGAAAAGGGGGTACCTCTTGATAATCCAAGAAAAAATGATGGGGAAATTTTATGATAGTCCTCTTTTATTTATTAAGATTTTATTTATTTATTTGACAGGGAGAAACACAGCGAGAGAGGGAACACAAGCAGGGGGAGTGGGAGAGGGAGAAGCAGACTCCCCGCTGAGCAGGAAGCCCGATGTGGGGCTCGATCCCAGGACCCTGGGATTATGACCTGAGACGAAGGCAGATGCTTAATGGCTGAGCCATCCTGGCACCCCAATGATAGTTCTCTTTGAAAAGAGATAAAGGAACTCAGGGGCCTCAATGGCTGACATAGCTTGAGCATTTATGCTGTACCAAGTGCTATCCTACCTGCTTTATACAAGTTAACTCATTTAATGCTCACAAGTGCCCTTTAGGGTGGGTACTGTTATTGTATCCATTTTTCAGATGACAGCACTGAGGCTTAGGGAGGTTAAGTGCCCCGCCTCAGATTGTACAGCATGGAGTAGCTGAGCAAGTAAGGAGCACTGGAGAACCGCTTTTAAAGCACCCTGTTTTACCATGGTGTCGTGACAGTGGATTTCTGGAGCCACAGGGATGACCCTCTGAGGAGGTGGGGAGCCTGGATGTGGGTGTTGGCCTGTTAAGTTGGAGTGATGAAGCTCTGGCTGCATTTTTAGGCAGAGCAGAGCACAGAGTTTCCTCAGACTTCTCCACTAAGAACCTGTGTTCTCTGATTAGGTCCCACATTTGACCAAGGAGTGTCTGGTAGCATTGAGATGCGGGAGAGAATGCGCTGATCTGAAGCTTGCCCTGCGTCAGGAATTCTGCAACCTTGAAGAGGTACAAAGAGGGGCCCCTCTCCTGGTCAGATACAGTGGAAGAAGCAATACAGGGTCACTAGCCTGGTCACTCTGACACCCTCTGCTTTCCCAGACTTCTTCTTTCTGCCGGTCTTTGATAAGTTCAGCTACTAGTCATCTAATTTTAACTTGTGGGTGCTTGCCCTCCACTCACCTGCTATAAAATTATTCTTGAAAATGTGGCAAGGAAACAATAGCCAAACTAGGGAAAGAGCCCAGATGTCCATCGACAGATGAATGGATAAAGAAGATGTGGTACACACACACACACACACACACACACACACACAGGAATATTACTCAGCCATCAAAAAAAATGAAACCTTGCCATTTGCAACGATGTGGATGGAACTAGAGGGTATTATGCTAAGTGAAATAACCCAATCAGAGAAAGACAGTTATCATTTGATTTCTCACTCATACGTGGAATTTAAGAAACAAAACATAGGATCATAGGCGAAAGGAGGGAAAAATAAAACAACATGAAATCAGAGAGGGAGACAAACCACAAGAGACTCTTAATCATAGGAAACAGACTGAGGGTTGCTAGAGGGGAGGGGAGTGGGGGATGGGGTAACTGGGTGATGGACATTAAGGAGGGCACGTGATGTAATGAGCACTGAGTGTTTTATAAGACTGATGAATCACTCAACTCTACCTCTGAAACTAATAATATACTATATGTTAATTGAATTTAAATGAAAAAAATAGTGAAAAAAACCATACATAGCAAATTTTCTTTATCCATCACCCATCATAGGACATTTAGGTTGTTTCCATATCTTGGCTAGTGTGCATAATGATTCAATAAACATGAGTGTGCAGATATCTCATTTGAGATAATGATTTCATTTCTTTCAGATAATATATCCAGAAGTGGAGTTGCAGGTTCATATGGGTAGTTCTATTTTTAATTTTTTGACAAATCTCCATAATGTTTTCCATTGTGGCTATACCAGTTTATATTCCTGGTATAAATATATTTATGTCTGAGTTCTCTATTCTGTTCCACTGATCTATGTGTCTGATTTTGTGCCACTACCATACTGTGTTTTTTTAATTCCATTTATTTTTATCTTCTCTAATTAATTTTGAAACTGTAGTTTCAGTGTAAAAAATCTTGCATTTTTATTGTATCTAGTCCTAGATATTTTATTTTTTGATGTTATTTTATATGGGAGTGATTTCTTAATTTTTTTTTTTCAGATTTTCCATTGATAGGGTATGGACATGCAACTAATTTTCACATATTGACTTTGTATCCTGCTCTAATATTTATTGTATATTCTTTAGGTGTTTTTTTTTTCAATATATAAAATCATGTCATTTCCAGAAAAAAAAAGAAAAGAAAAGAAAATCTGGCAAGGAAGGGAGAAAGGCATGTGATGAATTTCTTCCTTTCCCTGAGGTACCGCATTCCTTAAGAAGCTATGCATGGCTTCTGTACTTTCTGCCAATGAAGCTAAGATTTATATTCATTAGGGATTTTATTTGGCTGTTGGTAAAAGGGACCTACCTACTGTAAACTTATTTTATAAAGCTTTATTCTTTTATGCAAAAGAGACAGAGGTAGTGCAGTTCAGGGTTATTTTGATGGCTTTTTTATAGTTACTAGGGACTGAGGATCTTTCTTTCCATCTGTTCTGTCATCTTTAGTACAAGTCTTCCATCCTTAAAATCACAAAACAGCTGCTGGAACTGCAGCCATCACATCCAAGCTCCAGGTTGCAGAAAGGAAAACAGAGAGAAAAAATGGCAAAGGCCAGGCCCCTTTATTCAAAGCCTTTCCCAGGGGGCACCGGGTGACTCGGTTGAGTGTCTGCCTTCAGCTAGGGTCATGATCCCAGGGTGCTGGGATGGAGCCCCACGTTAGGCTCCCTTCTCAGCAGGAAGTCTGCTTCTCCCTCTGCCCCTCCCCCTGCTCGTGCTCTCTCTCTTTTTCTCTCTCAAATGTTAGAATTGTACAGTTGCAGTATTTATAGATGATGAATAATCATCTATAAGAAATGACTCTCAGAAAGAAGAAAAAGAAGCTCTGATTTATACCATTTTCTGATTATAGATGATGGATAATCATCTATAAGAAATGACTCTAAGAAAGAAGAAAAAGAATCTCTGATTTATACCATTTTCTGATTTCAGTGATGTAAATACTCCCACCAAAGGCTGATTTTGACCTACCAATGCTGTGTCTCTAAGCTCAGGGCTGAGAAGAGATGTGATTGGTGATTGGTCAGCTCTGGCACATCACTGAATGACACATTTCCACTTTATCTTCAGTAGCTGAGTCCTAGAAATAACCTGTTAACTAGCCCAGGTTTAGGTAGCTTTCACTGATGGTTTTTAAGGACCTCTGAGTGAGTGAGTATTCAGCATTGTTCTAGCAGATTTGAATGTGGTTTTGTCCCATCATTAGCATGAATTATAAATAAAATATAAGTAATATCAGAATCTGAAACATGCCCATTTAGCTTGAATTATTTGATCCAATCATCTAAATACCAGTATATTGACTCTAGGAGATTCTAGTGAGATAGAAACTTGTCAGAATAATTTTGATAGAGAATGTTCCCTGACTTGTGCAACTCTTTTGCATGGTTTTGTATAATCAGGATTCTGTGAGAGCTGAAAGTGTATTAAATATATGTGGTCTTTCGGAGGGATAAGCAAGTTGAGATACATAATCTTCTGCCATGTTATTCTCAAGCAAAAGGCTCATTTTACCTTTTACAGCCTTAAACCCTGACAGTTTCTTCTTTTGAAGTAAATGCCCTGACTTTAAAATTTTTTCTTAAAAAATAACTTCATCCAAATTAAAGGTTAACTGTGCTTGTTCTATAACCACATTTTTCTGTAATAGGTTCACAATTCTTTGAGGTGCACGACTGCTGTTTTCATGATCAAACCAGCAGCTTCCCTGCTTCCTTTCCTGTTCTGAACATTTTCGTGAGTTTTAAAATGACGGGGAGGCCATTCTGTAACCACGCTTTCTGTTTTCAAACCAACTTTCGAGACTTTACTGAATCAACCTCAGTGGTACTCATCTTTTTAGCTTTATTCTTTTTATAACGTGTGTGATTGATTTCACCATACCAGAATAGCACTTTGAGCCCACCTTCGTTTTTATCTTTGTGGATTTGAATGTGCCAGACTTTTCAGCAATGCTGCTTCTGTTCCTTCTCCTCCTCCTCCTCCTCCTCCTCCTCCTCCTTCTTTTTGCCCGTGCCCTCATTCTAAATGTTTTCATCGTGGAAGCAGTCAGCTCAAGTACAAGGGCAGTGAAAGACAGGATTCGGCCAGATTTCTCTGATGCTTCAGAATTGTGCTCTAAGTCAGTGTTTCTGTGCATAATAATTCTGTATTCTGGCTATTGCTTGAGCTCCTGCTAGTCATCAGCAGAACTCAATAAAAGGGAATGAGAAGGGCAGTAACGTAGATAACTCCGGAGAAACGCTGAGGGAGGGACAACCTGCCTAGTAACTTGAGGCCTTCAGCTTCTGGGGGCCACAGGACACTTGATGTTTTTAATTCTCGGCATTCCCCAACCTGCCTTGTGGTATCTCCACGCAGTTTCCCACCTCGCCCAATTTGATTACGTGCCTTGTGTGTGCCACTGTTTGCATGAGGGCAAATTTGTATAAGCTGTATTTACAACACCCAGGAGCATCTCTAGTTAAATATTTTCTTGATTCAGAATTTCTCCCATAGCCTTAATTTTTAATCTGTCCTTTCTCCTCTCCAGAAAGAATACATTTGTGCCCAGTTAGACCACAGTGTCTTGGTTAAGTTTTGCTATTTCTCTTTTTTAATTTTTATTAACTTCAATAATGAAATTATTTATATGTTGCTTGGTTGCTTCTTGTTTGATGTTACTAGGACAGGAAGGAAAGAAAGTCTATATCTGGCTAACTGTTCACTGAAAATAACTTTCTATAGCCTTTTGTGTATGGCAAATGATTTATAAGCAAAATTTATCTTGGTATCAACTAACTTACCATGTCTACAAACTAAATTCATTGCTACTAGCTATTTTTTATAACAGCTTTATTGACATAATTCACATACCACAAATTCACCCTTTTCACGTGTACAGTTCAGTGGTTTTTAGTATATTTACATAGTTGTGCAACCATCACCACTAGTTAATTCTAGAACATTTCATCATCTTAAAAAGAAATCCCTTAGTCATTAGCACTGGCTTCCCATTTCTTCAAAACCTTCCCAGCCATAGGCAACCACTAATTTACTTTTCGTCTTTATGAATTTACCTGTTCTAGCCATTTCATGTAAATGGAAACATAAAATGTTAGCCTTTCATCACCTTCTTTTACTTAACATAATGTTTTCAAGGTTCATCTTTTATTCCTTATACTGAAAAGTATTGCATTGCATGGATATACCATATTTTGTTTATCCATCAGTTGATGGACACTTGGGTTGTTTCCACTTTTTAGCTACTACAGGTAATGCTGCTGTGAGCATTTATGAGCAAGTTTTTGTATTGGACCTATGTTGTCAATTCTCTGGGGTTTGCTAGCTGATCTAGCCTGTCTACTAATATACCATTTTTAGTTGTAACCACCATCCTTCCACACCAGGGAACTGATTATCCTCTACTGACAGAGGCTGACTGGGTGGTTTTAGTGCTCTTGCTGCTTCAGTAACTTCACCCATTGTCCACTTCTGACAGCTGTTTTCTAGGTAAACTAATATTTGCTGTATTTCTGTTAATAGCCTCCCACTATGCCATCTAGCACCATGTAAATAATAGAATAATGATTATTCCTATTATCTAGAGATTAATTTTACTCTTCTCCAATTGTAAAGAAATACTTGTTCTTTAGAGAGAATTTGGAAAATACAGAAAAATATAGAAATTCAGACAAAAAAATCCATAATCCCACTACCCAGAAACTACTGGTTGGACTTTTTGTTTTGGACATTTGGACATTTTGGACTGTTTGTTTCCTGTCCTTTTCTGCTATGTATATTTTTATGTAGTTAAAATTGTACTGTATATGGAACTAGGTTTCCATTATGATGTAAAGATCTTCCCATGTTTTTATAAACTCTGTAAATACTTGTTTATATGTATTGAGCATTTATTAGAGAAGCATTATTTATGAGGGTGAAAAATTATAAACCTTAACATACATCAGACGGGGAATGGTTAGATAAATTATGTTCATCTTGTGGAATTCTGTACAGCAGCTTAAAATGGATGAGGTAGATCCATGTGTACTGACATGGAAAGATTGCCTAGAAATATTTAAGTGACTTACACAGTAATGCAGATGGCATGATCCCATTTTTGTAGAAGAAAACAAATGTACATATGTGTACATATACATGTAAATAAATGTCCAGAAGAATGCCTAGAGAGATACACCTGGCACTCCTAAGAGAGGCTGCTACTGGGAAAGGGATGAGTACGGGGATAGGAAAGAAAAGTGGGTAAAAGCAGGGATGGGGAAGGGCAGGTCTTTGCCATTTAAACTGCTTTCTATCATTTGATTTTTTTTCAAATAATGAGAATGTGTTTCTGTATTATGTGTGTAATCATTAAAAATAGAAAAAAAATCACTTTCATTCTACATAATTTGCCATGTGTATAAACCGGAGTTATTTTATCCAGCACCCCCATCAGGAATATTTAGATTGTTTCTAGTCATTTACCATTGTGAATGGTGCTGCAAGAAACGGCAGCTTTTTTTTTTTTTTTTTGCATAAAAAACATTTTCTCTATTTGAGAATGTCCTTGGGTCAGATTTCCAGGAATGGAATCACCAGATCAAAGGGTATGAACATTAAGAGGCTTGAGCTGTGTGCCTGCTAAATTGCTTCCCCAAAGCCTTGTGCTGTTTGCCCCTGACCAGGAGTATATAAAAATTCTCTTTGCACGGCCACTTTTCACTGTGGGGAGATTTCATTAAAGAAGATATTTGCCTGCTTTGGAGAGAAGCAGTAGTTTTTCACTGTTGACTTAATTTGTATTTCTTTGATTGCTAGTGAAGTAGAAGATTTTCCCCCCAAGTATGCCACCTCTTTGTGTTTTGTTTCTGAAAATGGTCTGTTACCCATCTATCAAGAGCTTCCTGATTTTCCTTGTTGATTTGTAAAAGTTCCTCTTAATGAGGTCCTTATATATAAAGGATATTTGCCTGTTTTTCAAAAATACTTGTTTTTTATGTTTCTTTTGTTTTTAACTTTTAGTCTGGCTTATCTTATTTATACTTAATAGAAATACAACATTTAGCAATATCGTGCTATATAGGTCTTTCCTGTTGTGATTTCTCCCACAGCTTTTACGAGTAAGAAGTCATCTTACCCGTTAGGGGAAATTAAAAACATCCATTTATATTTTCATCCACCACCCATCACTTTAAAGATATTTGACTTGTCTAGCTTCCCCCTCTACTACTATACACATATATGTTGACAAAAGAAGTAAGTCCATTAAAAGGATTCCAGCATAGAATTTTCAGGATGATGAATGGATAAAGAAGATGTGGTATATATACAATGGAATATTATGCAGCCATCAGAAGGAATGAGATCTTGCCATTTGCAACGACGTGGATGGAACTGGAGGGTATTATGCTGAGCAAAATAAGTCAATCAGAGAAAGACATGTATCATATGACCTCACTGATATGAGGAATTCTTAATCTCAGGAAACAAACTGAGGGTTGCTGGAGTGGGGGGTGGGGTGGGAGGGATAGGGTGGCTGGGTGATAGACAGTGGGGAGGGTATGTGCTATGGTGAGCACTGTGAATTGTGCAAGACTGTTGAATCACAGATCTATACCTCTGAAACAAATAATGCAATATATGTTAAGAAAAAAAAAAAAGAAGATAGCAGGAGGGGAAGAATGAAGGGGGGCAAATTGGAGCGGGAGACAAACCATGAGAGATGATGGACTCTGAAAAACAAACTGAGGGTTCTAGAGGGGAGGAGGGTGGGAGGATGGGTTAGCCTGGTGATGGGTATTAAAGAGGGCACATTCTGCATGGAGCACTGGGTGTTATGCCCAAACAATGAATCATGGAACACTACATCAAAAACTAATGATGTAATGTATGGTGATTAACATAACAATAAAAAATTAAAAAAAAAAAAGAATTTTCAGGATGGTCCTTTAAGCCCCAAAGGTTGACAAATTGCATTCTGAATCTTCATAGGGGACTCTAGGTCATAATTGATGAACAGCAGGAGGGGCGTGTTCTGTTCCAGACTCTACGTCGGAGGCTTCGTTCCAGAGGAGAAATGGTTTTTATATGTACTCCAAGTTTGTTTCTATTACCGTTGGTTCATTTTACAGGGAATCAGTTCATTCTCGTTAGCTCAACCTCAGCTGCACTTCGGTGTAACAGGAACCTGAAATTTGAAATCTTGAGAACCCTCTCTTACTTTTATGGACTCAGGATTTCTGCGCTGGAGTTGAGTACTTTTCTGCTGCTTCTGGAGAAGGGCCTGCCTTGCTCATGTATCGGCAGGTGGTTTTGTGTCCTTTGGGGGTGGGGGGTGGATTCTGCTTCTTAGGAACCGTTTCCATGAAGAAAAAGGTCTTTCCTTGTTCTCCAGCAAGGACAGCCAACGCCTCTGCAAGCCACCGGGCTGTCTGTCCTTGCAGGCAATGGCAGGGTGCAGGGCAGGGACCTCTCAAGGTTAAGCACAGTTAGTGAAGCTGATCCCAAGCTTCACTACCCAGGACTCTAGATGGAAGCTTTTCAGAATGCCTTGTGTGAGGGAGTCTGGGATTTGCTTCTCTTTATGATCTTGCTTCTCTCCCCAAAACCTTACAGATTTCTCTTACCTCCTTCCTTGGTGAACCTCCTGGGGGAGCCACGGCCAGGGCGCCTCACCACCGACGGCCACAAGGGGGAGCCCGACGCGCTTCTTCCTTCCACCGGCTCTCTGGCGCGAACCTCTCTTGGGTCCTCCTGGGGGAGCCCGAGAGGCCCTCGAAGAAGACAAGGGCCTCTTCCCTCCGGGCTTTTTCATGTTCAGGGGGTGGGAATCCTACTGTCTTATTTTACTATTTATCCTAAAATCTGTCAGAGTAGCTAATTGGCTGTAAGCAAGCGACTGAGTTTAAACTGAGAACACAGGAGAACTATTTATTACTAAAGTTGCCTGAAGACGTTATCAATGGAATAGAACAGGAAGGAGAGAATTTTGTAAAAATGTTAGTTTTAGTAATCTCTACCCACAACGTGGGGCTGAACTCACAACCCTGAGATGGAGAGTCCCGTGCTCAGCAGACTGAGCCAGCCAGGCATCCCAGGAGAGAATTTTGATAAGGTTTTTTGTTTGTCTGTTTTTGTTTTTTGTTTGTTTTGTTTGTTAGTTTTTTACCATGATTTGTGTCTCATCTCCCAGTCTGGTAAAGCCCGTTTGAGAGAAAATAGGACTGAGGAGGGAGTTCTTACAGGGAAGCTCACAGCTGGGCCAGCCTTGGCTCCAGAGGGGCAGGGCTTTCCGAGTTTGCCAATTCTCAGCTTTTTGCTGATACTTAAATTTAAAGAACAAAGAATTCACAAGCGACTTGGCGAAGCTGCTGTGATTAGAGTCCTATACTTACATATTTGAAGTTCAGCGACACAAGGGCTGGTTCTTTTTTTTTTTAAAGATTTTATTTATTTATTTATTTGAGACAAAGAGAATGAGAGAGAGAGAGCACAGGAGAGGGGGAGGGTCAGAGGGAGAAGCAGGCTCCCTGCCGAGCAGGGAGCCCGATGTGAGTGAGACTCGATTCAGGGACTCCAGGATCATGACCTGAGCCGAAAGCAGTCGCTTAACCAACTGAGCCACCCAGGCGCCCACAAGGGCTGGTTCTAGTCTGGGAATAAGGAGAATGCTGTTTTTGGCTTAGCTCTGCGCTACCCAGAGAGCTGCTTTAACTCCCTGGGACTGTTTCCTCTCCTGAAAATGAGAGTCTGTGCTTCCACCTGAGAGGCAAGAATCAATCTCACCAGTATGTTTTCCTCTCCCCTTCAGCAGCCAGGAAACTCAAGTCAAATTCAAAACTTTATTTAAGGAACTCTGCAGGACCCCGGGCTTGATATCTTGATGTCATTTTCCTTCCTTGTTTTGACCCTCTGTTCTAACTTCTGTTTTCTCTGATCTTAGCGTTTTATTATTTTCCGTGTTTAATATTTTATGGTACACATTTTTTTTTTTACACTGCATCTCTAATCCCTTGTGTAATGAGCATGGTGTAAATAAATGGTAAAACGGGAGGGGAGTCCCACTAGAGGAGTTCCGGTGACCCCTCCCATACTGATGTTCTGTGATTCTCAAGGGAAAGGCCACTGCACAAGTCTGGAGGGTTATCAGGTTCACATGGAAGGGAGCGCTCCCACTGAGGGTCTTAAAGATTTCAAGAGGGGCACCTGGATGGCTCAGTGGGTTAAGCGTCTGCCTTTGGTTCAGGTCATGATCCCGGGGTCCTGGAATCGAGCCCCGTATCGGGCTCCCTGCTCCACGCTTGTCCCTGTCCTTCTGCCCCGCCCCCTCTGCTTGTGCTCGGTCTCTGGCTTTCTCTCTCTCAAATAAATAAATAAAATCTTAAAACAAAGAAGAAAGTCCGAGGGACTGTGACTGTGTATTTTGGAGTTGGGAGGGGCTGGCAGAGGGTAAGTGAGGTCTCATCCATTCCATGTCTATGCTCATCTTGACTTTTTATTGTACCGTGTACTTTGATAGGGCTTGAATTACTTTGAGTGTTTATATAAGAATTAATTGTATCTATAACATGTATATTAAAGACATACTCCTACTTTGAGTAAATAAAAAGCTTTAAAAGTATATACTAAATAAATATCAATTACTAAGCAGTTATCCATTTTCAAAGTATCACTTTACCAAAGGACCTATCATGGGTTCCAATAAATGTCCATATATGATTTGTTTTGACAAGGACTTTCCCAAGAACACTGATGCTCTGTAAACAGAAGAGCTTTACTTGCTCCAGGGTTGGTTGATTTAGATTTCATTCTGATTTGTGCCCTGAAAGCCAATAATAAGCTGGAGGTATATGTTTTGAAGCCAGTGGTAAAAGCTTGGGTAATTATTATCCATTCGTGAACATAAAGATTTGATGCTCTCTGGAATCCATAAAAACTGAACAATTTGTTCCTTTCTGATGTGAGTCAGATCTGTTTTCCTTATGCCTTAAAATAGCCTCTGTTTTGAGTTTTCATTGGCCAGATTCGGGTGGTTTAGTACCATCCTGTTAGTTTTCTTGAACAAAGTGATGCTACCTAAAAATTTTTCAGACTTCCAGGACACTAGTGGAACTCCCCCAGGCCATATTGGGGGATAATGAAAACTTGGACTTTAGGGCAACAAGATTTGCTTTCTCTTCTGAGAAGGGTGGCAGGTGCGGAATCCCATCGATCTTTTCTGTCAGAGATGCATCTGCCCTCTGTAGATGTAAGCTTTGGACGTCTCTTTGCTTTCTCATTGTAAGAGCTTATGTTTACTCATGCATGATTATGTCACTCCTCACCATAACCTCTGAGGTGGGCACTAACTTACCACCATTGTACAGATGAGAAAGTGAGGCTTAGAGGAGGAGGTAGGTAGGTAAGTTGCCTGGGATTCCATATTGAATAGGAAGTGGAGCCTAGCATAGGACCAGGTTTGCCTGCTCCTGAGCTGACGTTCTTCACTACAACTGTAGACTACATCGGAGAGTTCATAAGCTGGAGTATGGATGATAGAGATAGGAATACAGAAATCCAGATAAAGGATATAGGAATCTGGCTCTCTAGCTAGAGGGAAGTATGTAGTTGATTGAGTTATATGGGTCAAAGAGAGTTGTTTGCTTGATTTAATTAGGTAATTGGCACTATACTTTTCTCTTTGGAAAAGACCTGGCTCAACAATAACCTCTCCTAGGCATTTTTGCTTGGAAAATTTTCAACTACTTTTTTTTTTTTTTTTTACTGTATTTTGGCTATCTGTTTGCTTTACACTTTACAGTATATCTGTCTGGGTAAATCTGTCCCATTTGATAATGAGAAATTCTATTTTAATGTAAAAAGTTGATAGTGTTGAGTGGCCAAAAAGTGTCGACAAGTTCGAAGAGCTCAAATAAAAAAAGAAAATATGATATAAAAACAGTGTTGAGATTTGAGGGAATCCACTAAATAGCATTTGCTCTTTCCTGCGTTAGTTTTGAATCGAGAACTAAGTCTAAAGAGGAAGACATATGGAGACTGTGGTATCCCCTTAATTGTGGATAAAGTGGGTCCTGGAGAATGGGGATCGCAACTGCAGCAAA